AAGAAGAAGAAGAAGAAAAAGAAGAAGAAGAAGAAGAAAAAGAAGAAGAAGAAGAAGAAGAAGAAGAAAAATAGAAAGAAGGAGAAACCATGCAAGAGAAGAAGTAGTTCGAATGGTTCGTCAGGCTCCGACGCCTCGACCGGCTCTGAAAGCCAAAAGAGCAGCGTTTGACAGCCTAATCGGCGCCCCCCCGATCGACTCGTGAATTGCGTCGCAGCATTGAAGCACTTCGTCAAAAGCATTGACTGATGACCCAAACACCAAACTACTATGCGTATGTCTCGCAGACCAATGCTGCTGCTGAGTGGTCGATTCGTTCGGTCATCGGTGGCGCCCGAATCAACTTGGAGCGGGCTGGAGCTCGCCACCAATACTGGTCGCATGCGGCGAGACATGCGTGTCTTGTAAACAACATTATCTACACTGGTGAGGGTAGTTCACCTTGGTTTCAACGTTTGGCGAGAAATTCCAAGGTCCGCTGGTTCACTTCACTCTCAGGAGAACAGCTCGCTTCGTTTCGAGCCGTCCTGCGCCCCCTTTTCTTTTGGGGAGGATATGTGGCACGCGCGGCTGGTCAAGCTGATGGGGCGCTCACTCCTCATTCCTGGGCAACATGCAGATCAGGGACATCAATAGTTGGGTGGGCAGTTCAGCTCAAAGTTCAATCTCCCGCAAAATTTGAAGCAGACCGGGAAGGGTTTGAGGAGGAAGAAGCCCTTGAAAGGCCTTCCTGCAAAGAGATTTGAGATCATTTGAGACTAGTGGCCAATTGCCCAACAGTCAGCTCCAGCAAGTAAGCTCGGGCAGAGTGTTGGCGTAGGCACGGACTTCCTGTGAGAGGGATGGGTTCCCGAAACCCTGGTAGGCGCCCTTGCCGTGCAGATAGGGCTGCCGTGCGTCTTATCCTCCGCTATGTTGGATGAAGGTCAGTGCCGTGGTCGAAGGACATGATGTAGTGCCGCCCACGATCACCTCCAAGCTATGATGTAATGCAGCAAAATGCCGCGGGAGCCGCGCAAGGTGGGTTTCAGGCGACCACCTTGAACACTCATGGCTTGCGCCATGTAAGTATGTGTGCATGCATGCATGCATGGATGGATGGATGGATGGATGTATGTATGTATGTATGTATGTATGTATGTAATGTAACGTAACGTAACGTAACGTAACGTAACGTAATGTAATGTTGTAATGTAATGTATGTGTGTATGTAATGTAATGTAATGCCATGTCATGTAGTGTAATGTACTGTCATGCAATGTAATTTAATGTAATGCAATGTTTTGTGCTGTAGTGGTATGTAGTGATATGTATGTATGTATGTTTGTATGTACGTATGTCTGTATGTTTGTACGTATGTACGTATGTACGTATGTATTAATGTAATGTAATGTAATGCATTGCAAACGTAATGTATGTAGTAATGTGTGTACCAGCACCCTCCAACAGGTCTTAGCGCTGGTATATGTACCTATGTATACATAGATGTAAATGGCTGCATCTAGTGCAACATTTGCTGGTCACATTGACCGTGATGCACACGAGATGTTTTCGATCACTGATATGTCGCGTGTTTCGCCAAGAACATCGAATTGCATCGATTTGCTGAGGGTCATGACGCAGTCGCTACTGGGCAGAACGAGTGGTGCTGGCGGGTTCTCCGCCACCTTCACCCACAAGGGCTGCGGGGGTTTTTGAGCCTCCACCGGTCAGATCTTCCACCGTGCTGGTGTGGAATCTGGTAGGCTTCAGTATTTTTTTAGAGTAGTGCATGGATCCAGTTGACTACAATATGTAGACATTTCTTACGATATAGTTATTTTGCATTGTTTAGTACCCACCCTGCAAAAACAATATTGGATTCTTGTATCTTCGCCGTGGCCGTGGGGTGCTTTGCAACTTTGTGCATTGAGGTTTTGCGCAGGTCTTTGAAACCTGGTTGCTATGATGCTTTTATGGCAGACACATTCAGGTTTCTTGGGGAAACCTAGGCAACATCTCAGAGTAAATATTGGAAGGCCACTGAGTTCAAGTGGCTGTTTGCAAATGCAATTACTTCATTTGGGGGTGCCCTTATTTGAAGTTCATGAACGACTTATAATTCACACGTGTGCTGCCAGATTATTCTTTTGGAACCCTTCTGTGTGTGTACTGCAAGGCCAGTGGCGCCCCACAAGACTTGGAGATCGCTGGAACTTTTCCCCCCCGACTCACCTAGGTCGAGAGGGAAAAACATCCGAGTTGTTTTTCGCGTGAGCAAACAATGGCTGTGTCCTCTTAGGCGTGTCCCTTCTTCACAAAGACGTTTGGTTTTCAGACTGGTCGTGCCCAAGTCTGCTGCCAGCGCCATCATTGGCTGGAATGGAGCACCCTGGCGAAACGAGGCGCCCTTCCAGGCGGATTCGCGTTCTATGCTCGGTTCTGCGGGATCACTTGAGAAAACCGTCTTTTTTTCTCGGAAACGGCTTAGGAGTCAGGCAGCACGACGAAACTTGAAATCCACCTGCACCATGTCCGGTCTTCATTTTAGGATGCGATGCCCAGCATTGAAACTCGTTTGTTTGTCACGTTTTTGCTTCTCCGCCGGCCTACCAACCAGATAGGATGTAGAAGCAATGTTGGTTGCCTTCATGGACGTCCTTCGACGGGTCAAGGCTGCCCAAAAAAAGAACTACGCGCCTGCCTCTCTCCTCGCACCTCACCATATTGTTGATACTATATATGTTCCTCTCTGTGTTTCACCTCTTAATAATTTGTAATCCCACACTATTCTCCCACACAATTCACTATTCCATTGCACTTATTCACATTTATCTTGCAGAACCAAGACCACCACAGCACGCTCTCAACTTATGACTGCACAAAAATTCAGACTATAGACCGTGCATGTATGTTGATCTAACTGGACTAGATTGGACTACTCTACTTATGGGGCGCTCCATTTCTCACTGCAAGCGGGTTTTCCAAGAGGCTCGGGGCGAGTTGCTGAGCAGCTTGGAGAATCCAGTAAACCGCCCGGCTTTTTGCAAGGAAACCGTACAGCGAATCGCCAAAGAGAAGTATTGCCGAATCAACGTCAGCTGCCGAGTACCAGAGTTTCAGGCCGTTTTGGGTTTGGCTGCATTTTTTTCGGGGAGGGACGAAAAGGAGGAGAAACGGAGGGGACATTAACATTGGTTTTTGGGAGTCCTTTTGGATCACGCGGTCGGGTTTTCGAGAAGAGCCTTCTTTCGAAGTTGTTTGTGAAAAGGTGGAGGGATAAGGACCATTGAATTTCGAGCAACACTGCTGGTTACGGGGTCTCGCTTGCCTTGGGCCACCGCAACAGGTGTGTTGATAGCCTTGACCGAACGCTCGCACGCTCGGGACCAACGATCAATAGCCCTACGAATCCAAACCTAAAGCTTTCAACAGGGGCACCCGCGCACGGCACGTGTTGGTGAATGGCAGGAACGCGTGGTGACGATCTTCGGTGAAAAGAACTACCTATGCGAGGGCCTCCGACAAGTGATACGGCGGATGCAGGGTGCTCCTCATTTGCAGGTCGGTCTGCAGGGGAGCGAGCTGGCGCGAGCCGGGGCATCTGCAACTTGTGCTTGCAGGAGCACATGCATTTTGAGTACAAGCAGGAGCTGCCCTTTGGCGTCTGGTACTGGAGCACGGAGCCCTAGAACGGGTGTGTTCAAACGGGTGACAAAGGGAGGCAGGACTTTTTCAACCAAATCATTCAGGCCCATTTCATGTTCTAATGATGGCCTGTTCTCCGCAGGTTCTTTGTTCAGGCCATCACATCATGATGTCATGATGGCCTGCCAGCTCTTTTGGAGTGACTTGTGCCGGCTTTGTAGGAGTCTACTTCCCAATTCCAACCAAAGCTCATTCATATGTACATATGTTTATATGTAAATGTAAATGTATACTGTATAAATATGTGTAGGAATATGTTTACAGATTACAGATTGTTGTTGTTTCCCTAAACAGCTTCCAAAGGAAAATAAAGGTGCCAGGGTCAAGAAGACAGCGCCGGCGTTAGCCCGGGCCACAATGGATCTGGTATGCATACATAGCCTACATAGCTTTTGTAGCGCCTTCCCGCTCATCCTGGGATTTGGACATCGTCATGATTCAGACTCCTACATTCTCACATCGTCGTCGTCGTCGTCGTCGTCCTCATCCTTACCATGCGCATCGTCATCGTCAGACATTGCCTCATAAACATTGCACATATCATCGCACACATCATTGCACATCACATCATCACAACATCCGTCATCGTATTTGATGCATTTCTAGTAGTTTTTCAGGACTCTAAGTCTGTTCAGAGATTCGAGTCTTTTTATCCTCTTACTGCTCCGGTCCGCCTGTCACGATATTTTTTTTCTTCCCACCCACCTGTCTCCTTCTTCTTGTTAGCTCGCCACAGACAACAACCTGTCACGTCACTTCTTGTCCCTCTCTGTTTTCAGACCGCGGATTGGCTTCACCGGTCATCCGACTGCCCATCCAACTGGCCATCCGACTGTCGGGGGTGTCCGGACGTGCTTGGCGGCGTCGCCTCACTTTTCGGGTCGACCCGGTTGGATCGATCCAACGTCGCAGGTCCGGAGAACAGGGAGCCGGAGAACCCCAACAGTCCGTTGATGCCCTACGAGGTGGCTCAGGTGTGGCACGTGGACGCTGTGGATATGAGTGCATGGAACGTCCGATGGGTAGTTTTCGGGGTGGAAAACCAATAGATCTATACAATGCAGCGACCCGACCAAAATGTATGGGAAAGTGCTTCTATTCATTTGGCGCACACACACACACACACCTCTCTCTCTCTCTATATATATATACACATGTACGTATATAAATATATAGATTTACATCAAAAAGGACTTGGCCGCGCATCGATTGGTCTACAGGTTCTTCATCATAGATTGGTCTGTTGGGGGTGGCTCATCCCCGCGGCCCTAAAACGGCGTTGTGATTGTATGCCAGGGCAGAGGCCCAACTGAATTGCATCCTGCTGGTGGCCGGACTCAGAGCTGATACTTCAGGAATTGGTTTCACGGGCAAGTCTCAGTTCTAGGTGAGATTAGTTCTAGGCAAGTCTTAGAACGTGGACGCTCAGAGGAAATCACGTGATATGGCAACGATACATGATCTTCAAGGGGCTGCAGACCCACAGCTAGTTCCGAGTTCCAACCTCTTACGCTAGTTCCAACCTTCAACCTCTTCAGGTTGACCTCTTCGCTCCGCGGTTTTTTGGGGATCCACAGCGACATGTTTCCAATGGTTTTAGATTCCTTTAGCCTACAAATGGCAAGGGAGGCTGACCATGACCATCCCAATAGGTTCCTCCTACTCACAAGTGATCACATACTTTTGCGTCTCTGCCTTCGCAGACCAAGAGCAAGAGGGAGCTCATCGAATACTTGGTGCAGACAGCGCCAAAAGACGTGCTGGAGACTGGAGCTGCATGCTTTGGATGTTTGGGTTTTACATCTGTGTTGAAGACAGCACAAGCGACAGGACAAGCAACACCAATCCCTTGTTATGGTAGATGGGCAGTTGTAGTTCTTCAGGATCCTATTCAACACGCATGTGATCATGTGTTTATGGACCTTGCATGGCTGCCATGAACCGTCCTGTTGCAGATCCGGCATGGTGGGGCCAGGCACAAGCCAACAGCCTTCCAAGTTTCAGTGCAGAGGTGTTCTCTTGGAATCATATTGAATTCCAGAGAACTCATGATCGAAACGCCCGCCGAACCGGGCGGAAAACGGGTGGAACCATGGGGTTTTCAGACCCACCGCCCTGGGGTTTGGTCCGCCGGGTGAATTGCTTTGGTCCCCATCCGTCGAGGCACGGACGCGACTCCTGGGGACGATGAAAAATGCGCTGAAGAAGAGGACCCACAATGATATGCTCGAGGCGGTCAAGGAGAGACCTCGCGCAGGGGGTCAAGAGGGCGATTTAGGGCTAAACGAAGAAGGATAGGAGGTCATAATTTGAGAGGAACCTTCTGAAGCAGGGTCGAATGTGGGTTCTTTTCCGAGATGTGGCTTCTATGATGCCCCACATCCCATCTTAACTTGGCTTAGCTGCTTGGCCTAGTGACTCGTGGACGACCCTAATCGGAGAAAGCTGCTTTCTCCCGACCTCCGGAGATCCCGGGTTTGGGAACAGACCCAATAGATCGAGGTTAGGCTTAATGCTTGGGAGTTAAGTCACATTTCGCACAAGTCTTTTTTTGAGTTTACATTTACGTAACTTGGTCGCCTGCTAGATAACCAAAGCTGTTTTCGCTCAGTTTCTGTTGATGCTCAGCCTGAAGTTGCTGAAGGCTGTGCTGGTAGAATATGTAATGAACCGGCTTGCCACAAAAAGCTTATTGGTGGAGAGTTCAATCTTGAGAAGAGCTTATGCTAGATGCTCTTGTCAGCACGAGGGGAAAAGGAACCACTTCAAAAGCAACGGGATCACTGGGGACAGGAGAGAAGAGAAAAAAGAGAGAGAGTAGAGACCACAGAAGAGAACACAACATTTGGAACAGGGTGATCAAAGAAGCAGAGGAAGGAGAAGAGAAAAGAACGAGGACACATAAAATTTAAGAATGAAAGGTCAAGGCACAGGAGAGACAAGATTTCAGAGAGAAGGCAAACAGATAAGCAAAAGCGATGCAAAAAGAGACAAACACATTGGAAGAGAAGGAAGACCAGAAAAAAGAAACACGCGTGAAGAGCCTCAAGGGCGGAAAGAGACAACACGGCCTTGTTTTTCTCCGACTTCTTGCCAAAATGGCCTGGTCCCACGGACGTTTAGATACGGTCCGACTTCATGTGTCGTTTGACTTGGTTCCGATTGAACTTCAAGATTGGCTCACGAGAGAGAGAGAGAGAGAGAGAGGGAGAAGCAAACATGACGGACGTGTTTTACATGTTCATTTCACTTTCTGGCCTTGCATGTGCTCAGGAAAGCAAAACTGCAACGAACTGCAATCTTGTTCCTGTTTGTTCATGGTAGGAAGGATTCTCTGCAAACGACAGCTGCAGCTGTGCTTTGTTGAGCTCAGCTACCACCATTTGCAGTGTCACCTTTCGGCACATGGCTTCTAGCTTGGACTTGCTTGGAAGCCGTGCGCAGTACTTTTTGGCAATGCATGTTCCGCTGCAAAATACATAGGAAACGGGGATCAGGGATTGGGGGTCGTGACTGTCCCACTTTACATTTTGTATTCCCCGCCTTGCACAGTATGGTTGATCGCACGAGCAAGGACGTTACTGGGAGCAAAGGGCATCGCTACTAGGAACAAGGACGCTACTAGGGGCTGCATGTTGAATCTAAAGTCCAAAAGCTTGGAACCTGAAGACCCCTGACCTTCTCCGCTGGAACCTGAAGACCCCTGGCAACACACCTTTTCCGTGAACACCTGAACTTTTTTTTGTGAGACCCTGAAGACGCATCCGCCGCTTTTTTGCCCGGCCCGCTGGATGCGACGCTCGCCACTGCCGCGCCGCTGCTTGGTAGGAGGTTTGGAACCTTCGGGCAGGCGAAAATGTTGGAATAATACAGAGTCTCGGCAAGCTGCTCGGCACAGGTGTCCGGGTCACGTCCGGGGATAACTTGTTTCATTGGCAATGCGTTTATTGACATGTATCAAATTGTATCAATGTATCATCTACACTGCTCCCTAGCCTGCCAAGGCCATTGAAAGAACGGTTGAACTATTTTCCCGAATGCGTAGGGAAGGGTTCTCGTTTAACTCTGGGGGTCTGGGGGTAGAGCCTTGTTCGCGACTTGTTGCCTGAGCGACCGCAACCGTCCGCAACCGTCCACAAGCGACCGCCAGGCCGCTGCCAATGGGGGAAGGTTTTGGAGAGGGTTTGGCATGGAAGCATGACGTGTCGGATTCGTGTGAAATAGCGAGGAAACGTGTGGAGGATTCGCGTTTGACGGTGTTGCGACGAAGCCGTGCTTTCGTGACAAGTCTCAGCTGAAACGGCGATTTTGGTGGAGGGGAGTGTGCTCAGAACGTATCGAAATCACTCCAAACGTGTGGTGTGGCGCAAATTTGGTGGAAGCTTACATGATATGTTATTGTCACTTTTCGTGGCAGGCTCAGTACTTAGTGCTCTTTTGGATATGTGGAAGTGCGATTTACCGGGCAGGCGCAGGGAAGTGTGAGGTTGCGAGGTGTGGCGGAGGTCATAGTTCGTGGCAGGCGCCGTATACTTTGTGTGTGTTAGAAGTGTGGACACGTCAATTTTCGGGGCAGAAACAAGGAATCGTGAGGTTGCGAGTTGTGGTGGAGGTGAATGTCGCTGTGACATGCGATGGGGGGTTCCCGCTTGACTTTTGGAGGAAGTCTCGTACGAAACGCTCGCTTTAGAGACTTGATGCGTGACTTTTGGAGGAAGTCTCATACGAAACGCTCGTTTTGGAGACTTGACGCGACTTTTGGAGGAAGTCTCGTACGAAACGCTCGTTTTGCAGACTTGACGCGTGACTTTTGGAGGAAGTCTCGATCGAAACGCTTGTTTTGCAGACTTCAAGTGTGAGTTTTTGAGGAAGTCTCGTGCGAAACGCTCGTTCTGGAGACTTGACGTGTGACCTTTGGAGAAAGTCTCGTACGAAACGCTCGTTTTGTAGACTTGAAGTACAACAGTGTCCGACCAGAGCGTCCTTCGAGAGTGTCCAAGAGTGACATGCAAGAGTGTTCCACAAGAGTGTCCTACAAGACGCAAGAGTGTCCTACCAGAGTGACCCACAAGAGTGACAAACAAGAGTGTCCCACAAGAGGGTCCCGCAAGAGTTGTCCTACAAGAGTTCCGCAAGTCCCACAAGAGTGTCCTATACGAGAGTGTCCCACAAGAGTGTCGTACAAGAATGTCTTACAAGAGTGTCCTACAAGAGTGTCCCACGAGAGTCTTCAAGAGTGTCCAACGAGAGTGTCCTGCAAGAGTTTCCTACAAGGGTGTTCCACAAGATTGCCCAACGGTGTCCCACAAGAGTGACATATAAGAGTGTTTCACAAGAGTGTCCTACAAGCGTGTCCTATGAGAGTGTTCCACAACACTGCCCCACAAGAGTGTCCGACGAGGGTGTCTCACAAGAGCGACGCGCAAGAGTGTCCTATACAAGAGTGTTTCGCAAGAGTGTCCTACAAGAGTGTTCCGCAAGAGTGCCCTGCAAGAGTGAGCGTCACACAAAGAGTGCCCACAAGAGTGACAAACAAGATTGTCCCACAAGTGTCCCGCAAGAGTGTCCCGCGAGAGTGTCCTACAAGAGTGTCCTACAAGAGTGCCCCGCAAAAGTGCCCTCCAAGAGTGTTCCGCAAGAGTGTCCTGCAAGGATGTCCCACAAGAGTGTCCCACAAGAGTGTCGGGCACGAGTGTCCTACGAGAGTGTCCCACAAGAGTGACATACAAGAGTGTCCCGCAAGAGTGTCAAGAGTGTCCTACAAGACTGACTCGCAAGAATGAGGCACAAGAGTGTTCCACAAGAGTTACAAACAAGAGTGTCCCACAAGAGTGCCCCGCAAGAGCGTGTCCCACGAGAGCGTTCTGCAAGACTGTCCGACGAGAGTGTCCTACAAGAGTTTCCTACAAGGAGTCCCACAAAAGTGTCCTAGAAGAGTTTTCTGCAAGAGTGTTCTCTACAAGATTGCCCGAGAGTGTTCCACAAGAGTTACAAACAAGAGTGTCCCACAAGAGTGTCCTACAAGAGTGTCCCACGAGAGTGTTCCACAAGAGTGTCCGACAAGAGTGTTCCGCAAGAGTGTTCCGCGAGAGTGGTCCACAAGAGTGCCCAAGAGTTTCCCACAAGAGAGTCCTACAAGAGTGTTCGGGGAGAGTGCCCCACAAGGGTGTCCTACAAGAGTGTCTCACAAGAGCGACACACAAGAGTGTCCCACAGGAGTGTCCTACCAGAGTGTTTCGCAAGGGTGTCCTACAAGAGTGTTCCGCAAGAGGGCCCCGCAAGAGTGAGTGTCATACAAGAGTGACAAACAAGGGTGTCCCACAAGAGTGCCCCGCAAGAGTGTCCCACAAGAATGTCCCACAAGAGTGTCCCACCAGAGTGTCCTAGAAGGGTGTCCCAGTGTCCCACAAGAGTGAGTGTCATACAAGGTGTCCCACAAGAGTGCACAAGAGTGTCCCACAAAGGTTTCCGAAAAGATTGTGTCCTACAAAAGTGTTCCACAAAAGTGTCTCTTACAAGAGTGTCAAAAATTGTTTGGGTGTTTGTTTTCGAGCACGTGTTTGCATTCGGGTTCGTGGGTTCCATCTTGTTTTAGGCTAAACTCCTTAGAAAAACAATGTTTTGGCCAATTAAATCGTGGGCCAGGAATTGTAACTTCTTGATTGGCACCAATTCGGCAACCTCGCTTAGAGCTGCGCGTTGGGCCGGCGGTTTTTGACTAAGGCACGACGGGCCTGTGTCCTTGCAGCCTGGAGTGTTGACGCCTGGATTGGTGAAAGCAGCTTGGAGTGACCAGATCATGTGTGAAGGACGCCGCTGATGTAAGGTTTTGGTAAAGGCAGAAGTGCGTTCACATTATATAGCAGAAACCTTTTCGAACACATAGCAGAGAGAACTCATGTTGAATCTACGTGCTTCCCCGGACCTCCACAATCTTAGGCTCATAACCGAGGTTGCATGTGGTCCTAACTTTGGTTTTAATTTTGCTAGCCTTTGTAAAGGTCACTTTGACTTTGACTTAGCTGAAGTTATGAAGGTTAATGATTAAGTACTCAAATTTGACCTGACCAAATCAAAATTAATTAAGTCAACTAGCTCTAATTTGGACTTAGTTTTTACTTAGGTTATAATTGGTAAGCGCAATCTAAGTCCAAGTCGAGTTGACAATTAAAGACCTTGAGTTACAACGACAACAACTTTCAAAGTTTAAGCTTAGTAAGTGCAAACTGAAAAGAATGTACAAAAATCATTCCATATGTTGATGATATTTCCAGATTGTTTGAATGCGTACACTGTAAGTAAACCATTAGAAAGATTCTGGTTCTCTTCCTTTACCAGAATATATAGTTGTCAAGGTCTACAATTATGAGAAACAACTCCGACAACCTTTGCTTGCAAGTGTAATCTACAAACGGTATTTGCTATTTGACAAATTCAGTTGCTTGTTCCTTCGTCCTAAGATGCTCTCAGAGTTAGGCTAAAAGAAGTCTCTATATATAATCACTTTATTTTTGGACTCTCTTACAAATTGTTTAGTTGTGTCTCACTTGCAATTTGCATGTATTATTGTTGGATCTATTTTTCGACCCCCTTGAAATTGTACATTTTCAAGGGGGGGTCCAAAAACAGAGCGATTATCACGAAAGGTAACCTAGTAAGTGCTAGCTTGAGTTTGGTTTGCGAAGCAAAGGGGTTAGCTTGAATAGCCTGCTCGGGACCAAATATTGGTATATCATATCAAATCTATGCCCCCCCCTCCAATGTGATGAATAATTCATTTTGGCGACGCCCCCCCCCCTCACCAGCACCACTATCATCACCCATAGCGTGAAGTCCATTCTCTGGCAGTAACAGCAGTGCCCCTACAATGAGGTTGCGCGCAAACACGGCTTCGACGCAGTGCGAGCAGTTCTTGCACATTCCAGCGTTTACACGCTGCATTTTTTTCGCAAGCCAGCGTTCACATACCATATTGCTCTCCACACAAATGAGCATTGACGCAACGCAGCCTCTACGCAAAGCCGTGTCAACAAACCTCACCACGTCGCAACCTTTTCGCAAGCCAGCGTTCACACACATCGTATTGCTCCACACAAATGAGCATTGACGCAACGCAGCCTCTATGCAAAGCCGTGTCAACAAACCTCACCACGTCGCAACCTTTTCAAAGCCAGCGTTCACACACACCGTATTGCTCCACACAAATGAGCATTGACGCAACGCAGCCTCTACGCAAAGCCTTGTTGACAAACCTCACCACGCCAAATGCCGAGCAACCTCTCCTCGCGACCCAGGTCACTTTTATGCGGAGCGCGCGCGTGACATGCGACCGCACTTGCAAGCCAACTCAAAGCTAAGTACCTACCAAGTATTTCTATAGGTGAAAGCTAGACATAGCTTAGTTTAACAAACCATGGCCCGGGCAAGTGCAATGCAACTCACAAAACCTCACCGGGCAGCATGTTGCAAAACACCTCCACAGGGTGTCCATCAGCAATTACGACCCATATCACCCAGTACCCTTTTGGATGGGTTTATATGACTCCCCGTCATCGGACCTCTAAAGTTAAAAAAGCGATTCAAATCACCCATCGAACACTTCAAACATTCAATCCCAAAAGCCAACTCATGGCTGGGACTGGGACTGGGTGGAGCCTCTCGGAGGTCTAGGCGTCCCGCCCTGTCCCGCCTTCCCACTTAGGGCGGTGAACCAGTCCCGGGCGAGCCGCCGCCAACCGACGGAGCTGAGCTGTCGGATGAAGAGGACTTCGACGAGATTGAGGTTGTCATCGTCCAGGCTGTCGGGGTGGAGAGTCCAGTGAACGAGGCCTGAAGTTGGAACGTTTGGAGCGTCAAGCTTCAGGATCAGGAGAGGTGAAGATGCAAGCACCTTCATTTGTTCATTCATTGACGGTTCTTGATATCTTTTGATCACCTCGAAGGTCTAAGTCGGTCTAAGGGTGACTTTTGGTCAAAAACCAGCCTTGGCGCTGAATCTGCAAATTCAGCCGCCGTAATCTGATTTCGATACGCTTTGGAGAGGGGTGCTTCAAAACGAAGGCCTTAAATTTGCCCTTTTCAGCACCATTTCGCATAGGCCAAAACCCAAAAGGGGCTTGGAGCTTGTGTTTGAAAAAGAACGCTTTTAAAGAAAAGGAGAGAGCATGTCCCCAGTTGTTTTGAGCACATGGAATGTTGCGGCATCAATTCTTACAAGCTGTTGTATTAGGCCGGCGTAAAAGCACAGGTAAAGGTTGATTGGCAGTTACTACTTCCTTCAATGCCAGCTCATTGATTCCACCCCATGGGCTGCAGAAACGTCGCTCCCACACGGTTTGCATTCACCGCTGTAAGAGCCGATGGGCGTTTTCGTACGGAAAAGGGTCACTGCGATCACAGTCATCCGCCGCAGGGCTCAGACAGAGCAGAGGCGGGAATTGGGGGCAACGCTTGAGCACAGCACTTGAGCGAAATGTTGACTGCTGATGTACAAAGAACGTACTTGAATCGTCAAGCATCTCCATATAGGGTGTTTATGAATCAACAGGCAGGTTTCAGGTCGACACATAGTATGAAGGTTATTGTGAACCTCTACGCGATGGACGCTGGGGACTTGTAGGGTCGGCTGGTGCAGTTTTCTCCCGGCCAATATTGCATCAATTCTGGCTGAAGCCTTGGAATCAGAGGGCTTTTGTCACGTTAATTTTAGCTTGAGCAGGGGCTAGCGGCTCATTTGCCAGCCAAGCTAGAGAAATGAGTGGCGGAGTCTGTGGACGCACACACTTGTACCTGCTGTGATCACCATTCACTTACCAATGGTCCCTGATTCAAGCATAACAAAGTTCCAGCCATTGCATCGGTTCTTGCACTCTGCAGTCACGAGTTTTGATTTTTTATTTTGGAGACTCGCTTTCATGTCTGGAGGCAGCACTTGCCACACTCTGAGGATTTGTCGATTATATGTTTGTTTTTTCGTTAGACGCCTCTCCACTGGTACATTGAGGGTTTCTACCCCTGGACTCTTCCTTAGGTTTTCATACCTGGGTCGGCGTGTCTCCCTTTATGGGAGCCTGGAGTGAGCCCGAAGAGTGCCCTCCGTGGCCTTGCTGAGCAAGGGCTTGTCTCCTTCTCCCGGCCCGGAGAGCAGAGCAGGCCACAGCGGACGGAGTAGGCTTGAGCCAAACGCCGCTTTTTGATCACATGGGTCCATTTTGGACCACATTGAACATATGTTCACGTGCTCTTGTGGCTTCGGTTGGCACAGGTCTATACCACACGCAGGAGCTCCTCACCACGTTTGGCCTCGTGCATCTCCTTGCTCCCAGTCCCGAACAAGCTCAATGGCCAAACTCTCTTTCCGGATCCACGGCCTCCATACTCCCGCCCAAACTCTTTTTGGCTACCGCTTCTATGCCTTCGATGACTTCACCGACTCCTTCAACACCTTGCTCGACGCCATGGACTACACGTTTCTCCGCAACTTGCTCTCGCCCACCGTTCACTTCTGCGGATCATCTACCACTCGAGGACGTTCACGCTCCCCCCCCTTCTGGGCCCTCATTCAGGCCTATGATTGATGTCTCACCCCAAGCCCTCACTCACAGGGATCTTTCAATGTACCATCACCAGTGAGTACGATGTTTGTATATTAATCTTAAATTGGAACCTTCCTTTCCTCGCGCGCCCTGCCTGCGTCCCACCCTCCCCGTGCCCACAGGATGCCCCTGCCCTGAACTCCAGCCACGGTACTGATATGATTACGCCCCACGGTTGCTCTCGCGACTACCTCCATTTCACCGCAGCCTACTACTCCTCCATCTACTACACTGGCCACTTCCGCTCCACCACTCACCACGACCACCCGTTCGAGTTCCAGTTCCGAGGAACCTTCCTAAGAAAGCCAGACCACCTTCCGACCAGGACTCCATCATCTCCGCCACTTCGACCACACCTGGAGTCCTGCCCTTCCTCGTGGTCTTCTTCCACCAGGACATCGTCGTCGCCTACACCCACTGCTTCACGACTTCACTTCTTCCACTTTCACCGTGTCGCACTCAGCTTCACTATTACGGCGCACAAGAAAGTATGAACATGATTGAACATGTATTTTGCTCACCCACTTCCAATGGTTTGCCACTCATCCCAATTCCCCGCTTTTCTGTCCTTCTACTCTTGTGACCAGGTTCCCAAATATTCTCTGAGGCATTCAGCCGTTTCCTTTCCATCTTTCCATCCTTTCATCCTTCGCTCCGCACTTCAAGATGTGCTTGAGTATCGTGAGCAGGCTTTCGAGAATGTTATGAGCTCGGTCTTGCAGCGGCTCTATGACTTTGACTTTGATATTGCCTCCTGGGACCTTTGGTCACGTGAATTTCAGCTTTCAGCAGGGGGATATCGGCTCATTTCTCGACGCTAGCCGACAAAGCTAGAGAAATGAGTGGAGGAGTCTGTGGACGCACAGACTTGTACCTGCTGTGATCACCATTCACTTACCAATAGTCCCTGTTTTACCTTACCACACTTTGAGGATTTGTAGTTTTTTGTATTTTTCGATAGACGCCCCTCCGCTTGGTACATCGAGGTTTTCTACCCCTGGTCTCTAAGGTTTTCATACATAGGTCGGCGTGTGGCAAACCGCAATCCGTTCCAGACCCAACGAGCCAACGAAAGCACCGAGCCAGAAACTAGTTCCGAAAAAGAAAAAACATATGTTTTTACTTTTTTTTACAAGTTTATGTTGTTGGGACATTGCTACGAAGCACATCAACATCGGACAATTCTGCAGCAGGTGAGATCAATGAAACTCTGAAGAGTATGTGTCGCTATAGTTTGGCACCAAGGTATCAAACCAATGGATTGTGCTGGTGCATCAAAATTTTGGCAGATACACCTGGGCGCCACTCCACGGAAATATATTTGTTTAACTAACAGTGCTCGCTTTCGGATACGTTTTCAGAATGATCCGTACGAGAAAACTGCTTGGTTTCCCACAGCGGAGCAACTCAAAGAGTTCACACGAACTTCTTGGGGACCAGTGAGTGTTCACGTGACCGGAACAATGTTGGCGCCATGGAGGAGCTAAAGAACACTTTAAACAACATATTTCACTTCAAACTATCCCCACAACTGGTAGGATAGCTGGGTCGGGGCTGATTGGTGAAACACCCCTGGGTCATGTTTGCTGTTGTCAGTATGTGTGCAGGAGGACTCGGACGAAGAGGAGGAACCGTTTGAAGAGGTTGTTTCCCAAAGCAGCGATGCTGCTGAGGAAAACTCCCTGCCACACTCAACAGCTGAAGAACCACTGCCGAGCGAAACATCCTTGCGGTCAACGCCGCCGAACAGTACCGCGCCTAAAACCGCTTGGAAAGCAACAGCTTGGAGTTTGCCGTCGAAGCAAACAGGGCGGCGCCGTGCAGCGACGGCGGGGACAGCCGTGGCTGACCACTTCCGCCTCGTGGAAGCGCTGGCCGTCGAATGGCCGATCTTCTCAGGCAGTCGAGAGCCTCGCACAAAGCCGAGTCCTGTTTTAGAGTGTTTTAGAGTCCTGTGGTTTAGTGCTTTGTGACAATGTTGCTTTAATTTGGGCAATGCAAACTTGCCCAAAGCTAAGTCCAAAGAGAATGCAAAAGTGTAAGTTAAGTTGTTTTTTGCTGGGTCCAAGGTGACTCAAAGTTAAGTACCTACTATATAAGTATTTATGTAGGTATACGTTAGACTTAGCTTAGCTTAACTAACCATGGCCCCGGCAAGTGCAATGCAAATCACAAAATCTCACCACATATGACATATGTCAACCAAAATCTGAAAAAGTGACCAAGTGAGTGCTTGTAAACTGGTGACCGGCCAGTATGTTGCAAAACGCCTCCAGTGTCCATCCTAGCATCAGCAATTCACCCCATGTCAGTTTCTCCAAATCACTCAGTACCCTTTTGGATGGCTTTATATGACTCCCCGCCATCGGACCTCCAAAGTTAAAGCGATTCAAATCATCCATCGAACACTTCAAACATTCAATCCCAAAAGCTAACTCATGGCTGGGACTGGGTGGAGCTCCACTAAGGGCGCTCTACTCGAGTCCAAAGAGCCAGTCCCGGGCAAGCCGCTGCCGGGCGACGGGGCTGAGCTGTCGGATGAGGATGTCGACGAGATTGAGGTTTTCATCGTACAGGCTGTCGGGGTGGAGCGGGGTGAACGCGGCCTGAAGTTGGAAATTCTGGAGCTGCGTCAAGCTTCAGGATCAGGAGAGGTTTGTTGAAGCTCCCCCATTTGTTCATTGTCTTAGCGGCTTTTGATGTTTTTTTTTGATCACCTCTAAGGTCTAAGGGCGACTTTTGGAAGGGAGGTTGCTAACCCCAAAAAAGCTAACCTCACGTGGCCTTATGTTTTCAAGGTTGGTCAAAAACCTTGGCGCTGAATCTGCAAATTCAACCATCGTTGTTCCTTATGTCGACACGCTTTGGAGAGGGGTGCTGAGGAGTGCAGACGGAGGCCTTTCGACGCAGCCCACCGTACTTTTAGGCCAAAACGCAGTCTGTCAAAAGGGGCTTGGAGCTTGTATTTGAAAAAAGGGGTCGGGGTCGGCCATGTCCCCAGTTTTTTTTGACTTGGGCACAGTGAATGTTGCGGCATCAATTTTTACAACCTGCTGTATTGGGAATGTTGGCATGAACTGAGCCTGGTTTTTCTTAGATTGTTTCTCCTAGTCATTAGTTCCTTCAATGCCAGCTCATTGATTCCAACCCAAGCTTCCACACGGTTTGCATTTACCGCTGTAAGAGCCCATGGGCGCTTTCATGCAGAAAAGGGTCACTGCGATCACAGTTCATCCGCCGCAGGGCTCAGACGAAGCAGAGGCGGGAATTGGGGGCAACGCTTGAGCATAGCACTTGAGTCCAATGTTGACTGCTGATGTACAAAGAACGTACTTGAATCGTCAAGCATCTCCATATGGGGTGTTTATGAATCAACAGTCAGCTTACAGGTCGACACAGTATGTTTCCGAAGACCAAGAATGTAGACCCAACGAGCCAACGAAAGCACCGAGCCGGAAACTAGTTCCGAAAAAGAAAAAACATATGTTTTACTTTTTTCTACAAGTTTATGTTGTTGGGACATTGCTACGAAGCACATCAACATCGGACAATTCTGCAGCAGGTGAGATCAATGAAACTCTGAAGAGTATGTGCCGCTATAGTTTGGCACCAGAGTATCAAACCAATGGATTGTGCTGGTGCATCAAATTTTGGCAGATACACCTGGGCGCCACTCCACGGAAATAATTTGTTTAACTAACAGTGCTCGCTTTCGGATACGTTTTCAGAATGATCCGAACGAGAAAACTGCTTGGTTTTCCACAGCGGAGCAACTCAAAGAGTTCACACGAACTTCTTGGGGACCAGTGAGTGTTCACGTGACCGGAACAATGTTGGCGCCATGGAGGAGCTAAAGAACACTTTAAACAACATATTTCACTTCCAGCTATCCCCACAACTGGTAGGGGGTCGGGGCTGATTGGTGAGACACCCCTAGGCCACGTTTGCTGTTGTCAGTATGTGTGTCATTGCTTGTTGACTGCTATCTTACTTCTTTTGTCTGGTGTATTGTCATGTATTGCACGTGGTGTGGTTATGTTTGGTGGTCTTTGTCTGTCTCTCTCTCTCTCTCTCTCTCTCTCGCTCTCTGCGTCATTGTGACAAAGATGTTAACAGTGTTGAGGTCCTTTGATGAGTCTTTGGACCGATGCTGTTGGGCTCAAACCAGGCCTTGAGATGACCTTGGTTGCGCATGATGGAAAACGGTGCGTGCCTTCTTGTGGAGTGTTTCCCAAGAACCTACCTCTACAGAGGTAGGCGGAGCAGGACGAGATCCTTGACACCTTCAAGGTCCGGACTTTGACATCAAGCTCTTCAAGCTTGGTTGGTGAAGGTGCTGACCCTGGGCCAGATGGATGGCCACCAAAGCATTCCAAAATAATCCTTGGTGGAACACCCCTCAAGGCCGAGCTGCAGGGACTACATCGACTTGGCCTCTGACCTTCTCAGCTACATGGCCCTCGATGCAGCAGGAGACAGTGGCTAGTGCACCACAGGTGATGCCGCAGATGTCGCATCACACATGCAGTAGCAGACAGCAGCAGCATGCACAGACCCCACCTTCAAGCACCAGACCAGTTCTTGGCAGCGGCCTTTGCGAGTGCCCTAGGAAGCGCTGGACCACAGCCCAATGACGCTTCTCCCATGAGCGCCTTCTCCATGCCGGGTAAGCAGATCCCACCAGGCGCTTCGATGCCATCCACGGCAAGTGCGCAGACTCCGGAACAGCTGATTGCGAGTGCCCTTCATGGAACGGCTCGCCTTCAACGCTGAGGATGTCCTGGCTGAAGCTCCTAGTGCTGTGGGAGTGTGGGAGTACTAATCCAATGTGCTTTCGAGAAAAAGCCGGATCATCGAACCTTTGCAAGAGCATCTCATTGGCAACCGCTTTTGGAGGGCACGAGAGGCAGATCGCCACTCTGAACAGCTTTCTCAAGTGCAACTGTAGAGCTGAACTTGAGCAGCATGACAACGGGGTCATCACAGAGGAGAACGAGACCTACAGTGATCCACTGTCAGTGGCGCTCTTGGACAACGAGCAGAGTAGTGCGATCGTACCGCGCTAGAGGTTGCGCCGATCCCGCGACAGTGTGGCAAAGACCAGATCCCGGATCCGATGGGTCCCGCACAACCGGAACGCATCGGATATGCTGACAAAGGTTGTCCAGGCACGTGAGATGCCGATGATGGAGCTGTTGAAGACGGTTTTCTTGCGGAGTGTTTCCCAACACCCTACCTCTACAATTGTTTGCTGTATTTTGTAGTGGTTGTCCTTGTGTATTGTCAGGTGTTGTGTGTTGTGGTTCTGCTTCATGTCGCCCTTATGTGCGTCAATGTTTGTTGTTTGCTGTCATGTCGGGCCACTGGCTGGCGGGACGTGTTGTGTTTATGTTTAATGAGCGTGTCGTTGTGTGTTGTTTGTGTCACCCATTGTTGTCGTTTGTTGTGTTGTGTGCCATTTTGTAGTGCAGTGCAATCTTGCCATAATGTAGTGTAACCTAATCTAGTTGCAGCTGCAGCAGGAGGAGTAACAGTCACTAATAGATGATGTTCCTTCAACAATGGCCGAAAGAAATGCTTGCCAGAACACAGTGTCCATTCAGCATGGTGAATATTGCACCGATGCCTGTGTTTGAGGTGGTAGGCGCAGCTAAAACTGACAGATGGTTAGTGTCCCAGCACTTTGTCTGAAGAGTTTTTCATTGCTCGAGGATTCGGATGAAGAGGAGGAGCCGTGCGAAGAGGATGGTTCCCAAAGCAGCGATGCTGCTGAAAAACATTCCTTGCCACACTTAACAGCAGAAGAACCAGTGCCGAGCCCAACATCCTCGGGGTCAACAGCGCCGAGCGCTACAGCGCTGAAAGCAGCAGCTCCCTTTGTGGAGATGCCGAGCCCCTTGTTTAGCAGAAGCTGCAGCAGCAGCAGCAGCAGCTCATTGTCTAGCTGCGGCGCTGTTGAGAAACCGAACCGGTGCTGATTTTAGGACCTGAAAGGAACCCAACAGGTGAGAACAGTGATGGGTCTGCCCTGCGATGCCCGAACATCCGCCTTCGGATGCTTTAAGAGGATCGTCGATGCGATCCGGTCCAACGACTAATTCGTTCTCTTTGTACAGTGCCTCAGATGGAGGACAGCATCCCCCACGTTGGTCAAGATTCGCCGATCTGGCAAGACTGCCGGTGTATCATGGATTGTCATGGTGATTGTCATCTCCTGATTATCCAACAAACTTGGCCAAGAGGGTGCCTTTGTACTCCTTTCATCGTGTCCGACACGGGCCTGAGGGGCCCGCCGAAACGAATTTTTGGGTGCCCGCAGATTTGCGCACTGATTTGCAATTCGTGACCCTCTTTCAGATAAATCAAGCTGGAAAGTGCGTGTTTTTTGTTCAACAGTGAATTCGTCATTGCTGCATGTTTCGCCTGTTTGATGCCTGTCCTCGGCAAATTCATTTGCATCATTTGCGTAGCAGCAGAGATGGTCTATTTGGTTAGCAATTTTTGGTGGGCCCTTGTTGTAAGCCGAAAGTCAGGGAAGCTTGTGAAGAGGGGGTACCGGGGTATATGTATGTGTCTCACGTAAACAGAACGGGAGGATCGAGCTGTTGATGCGTGAATTTCCTTTGTGTCAAAGAACCATTTGCACCTTTCGTTCACAAAGCCACGGCGATTCCACTGCTTGAGGAAGCAAACCATAATCTCATTCGCGCATCTCAAGCTAGTTCATCCCAGTAGCTCCTGGATTTGAGGCTTGCACGACACTGCTCTAGACCCTCCAGAAGAAAGGACACGCATGGAAGCATGATGAATACCTAGTTTGATTCGCACGTGAAGCTTGAAGGTTGAACCTTTTTGCAGTATAGGTGTTGTGAAGTGTTGGTTCCTAAGTCAGTGTCGTGCGAATGTAGGTGACTCAATCCATGCGCCCGGTTGCAGAAAGACAAAAGTGGTGCGAGTGTCACATTTCGTTTAATCTGGACCATGTAGATGAGGTTTGGAATAACACAACCAAAATCCGGAGAATGGCCATGTTTGACTCGATGATACTCCATGCGACAATCCCAAAGAGAGAGGGTGACGGGCGCCCTTTCGACGTGTTGGTTCGCGTCCACCCGATCGAACTGGCACTGTGCCCGTGTGGCGCTGGCAGTTTGCTGCACCGCTGGCCGGGTGCAGACGCGGGGCAGGGCCATGTCCTTGGGGCCAACGCATCCCCAGCCGATGGTTTGGGCAAAGAAGGGCTCCCCCTGTTTGGGGATTAATACAAGCATCATAACCAGCCTCCACCAGTGGTTCTATTTTTGGGGTTAGATGCCCAGAGGGATGTATGACAGCAAGGCACATGGGCTAACGCGCTTGCTGGGGACACTGACCGCTGCTGGCCGCTCCTTGCGGGTGTGTCCCGGAACGAAGGAGCCGCCGTGAGGGCAGAGGGTCAAGGCGGACGCCCGAAATGGGGAGGCCACATCTTGCGGTTTCAGAGTAGATTGCACAAAGCCCAAGAGGTGGTCTGAATGGACCCCAAAAAGATGGTCTTTGTGTGTTCCGGGAATCCATCCACTGGTTTCACGGGCGACCGACGTGGAGTTCCTCGGATGGATACGGACAGCAAAGGTCGTGTTCGGAGCCACACGATCCGCGCACAGACAGAGTTTTAGTCATGTTGTGAATTTACGGAGCCACACACGCTGTCAGTCAAAACTAAGCACCAAGATTGATGGTAGGTCCAAAGCATTTTGGGAGAGAACTGTGTGTCTCTGACCCTTCAGCCGACCAGTTGCGTTGCTCTCTTCAAACAATCGGTGATGTGCGGCAGCAAACTCTCTACCCAACAGTGCGTGGAGCAGTCTTTGCCCCTTCGCCAGATTGTGCATACACGCATGGAAGTTCCAACAAAGAGAAGCTGAAAACGCCAGCTTTGAATCAAACACTTTCTTGCGAAGAAGGACGCAATTCTAGCAGTGCCTTGCTTAGGCTGAAATCATGCCTCTCCTCCATCCTCCATAATGAGCCAGCTTTTGCTCATTTGGAGATCAAGTCTGGCAGCCGTAGATGTTGGAGCAAGAGTTGTGACTTGCATCTGGACACGCGTGGGCCACATTCTTTTTCATGCGCCCACCCTGCGATCATAGGGTCCGTGGGGCTTTCTTGTCCCAACAGGGCTCCTGTTGTCGCATGCACCGGTGGCCGGGTAGCAGGCGCAGGCTCACCTCACTCGCGTCCTTGAGGCCAACGCGACAGGGACGTCACTCGGTGCTCTCGAACGTCTGTTCGACACCGGTGCGAACTCTGACGTATGACAGCAAGGCGAATGGGCTAACGTGCTTGCTGGGGACGCCCGGCCTATTTGGCTACTGCCTCCTGCCCGACGGACGCTACGCCTCCGTCGTTCCGGGTGGCCTGCTGACGGCTGAAGTACCAATGGCTGGCGGTGGGAGAAGCCGAAAGGGGAGGCCTGAGACTTGTTTTTCTTCAAAGATCTGAGATCCACGGCTTCAGAGATCTGTCCCATCTTTACTGAGGCCTAACTCTTTTGAAGCCGTCAATCCAAGACGGGACAGCTTTTGCCTCGATGGCAGGGCGACAGATCAACGAGTTTGAACAGGCCGGGTTGGTCCGCCTCTGAACTGGCTCGAGGGGGACCGGTGGAGAGAGGGAGCTACTTGGGGATGTAGAATTCAGGAAAGGGTTTTTGAATGACCGGGTCAAAAGCTGGAACCCCAATCCCCTTGCTTGTAGACCCTAGTAGTCTGTTCTGTTCATGTCCCCTGCCATAACCCAGAGCCATGTAGAACCGACCCTGTGCTCCGTGGTTGCTGGCGGAGCGAGCTGAGCGCGTGGTTGGACACATGCGATGGAGCCGCGCTACTACACAGCGGCCATTTCCGCCTGTACCAAAAAGAGGTTGGAGATGTTGGGGGTGGAGAGCAAGATGGGCTCTGGATGGTTGTCTGGGTGTCAGTTACATTGTTCATCGATGGGACTCCATTTTTACCATCGATTTCGGAACACGTCCGAAATTCTGCGAACATGTGCTGTGAATTGCTGTGACATCTTTGACATTCACCAGTGCGGACCTGTCCCAAGGCCTGGGATGTGGACACCGAACCCCCGGTCTTCCGTGCAGGTCTTGGTTTGAGGCCTTGAAGCTCTTGGAGGCGATGCCCCAGCGCCGTGTGCAGGACGGACCACGTGTTTTCACCGGAGAAGCGTCCGGTGAAACCAGGGAGACGGTCCAGAGTGCTGGCTGGGTGTGAAGCTGGTGACGAAGCGGTGTGCTGGAGACTAAGGCCCTCCCTGAGCCTTAGATGCAAGCTCTTGGTCCATGAATTCATTGCACAGTAACGCTTCGTTCCCAGCTGTTGACACCATGCTTGAGTAAAACAAATATACATTGTCATTCACTGCAGTGAACAATGTAGATGATGGACATCAACAAACAGAGTAGAAGGTCAATAGCCATGCATGTAGAAACCCGTTAACAATTTGAATACAGAAGAGGACAAAAAAACCCATTGAACCTGGTCTAGACATTGACACCGATGATTGTCTCAAGGTTTCATCCCAAGGCTATGAGACACCAAGGCGACATGGTGTTCGACTCACTGGGTTGGTGGGAAGAATGGGATTTGCTGTGCTCATAACGTGCTCATCACATGCTGGGCTGTAGCCAGGTGAGCAGTGAGGAGCCTCTACATGTTCGTGGTAGAACTTGTTTGGGTGTTGAACACAGCGGCCGTCCCGTCCACACAGAGTCGAGGCGCTTCTGCACCTCTCGTGCCGAAGGCCCCGGACGGACGACTTTGGGACACAGGTGAACACCATCAGCTTCAATGCCACGATCAGCGCCACTGAGAAGGTGCCACCGGATCAAAAGGATTCAAAAGGAGGGCTTTGTGTTTTGGGGGGGGAGTCGTGCGAGCGTCGCGAGTCGCGCGATCAGGCGGGTGGAGTTGGAGCAGGAAGCGAGGCAATCTAAAGCAATCAATTTCATCCTAATACATTCCCCCTAGGGGCCCAGCGGCTCTCAAGGCAGTGTACAAGTGTCCCAAACTCTTTGTGTTGATCCCATCAACCATTCTCAAAGCTTCTTTGAAAAAAGTCCAGTCAGCAGGAGTTTGGAGAGGATTTTCTGCCACCAACTGAAGATTCTCCCAGAATGTCTATTCACTAGTCTCCCCGGTTTCCCAGTCTCCCAATCGACGTCGCTCTGACCGGTTTTCTCGAGCGACGTCTTCTCGTCTTCGCCCTGGGCCCTGGGCCACTGGGCAGAGGCAAATCAATGGCCCTGGGCTTTGCACCTGTTTCAACAGATGCCCCAAAAGCAGGTGCTTCAGGCGCCAGGTGTGTCGAATGGGGGGTGTCGACGCCAGGTGTGGTGTGTCGACTCGACCGCTGGTTTGGTCGAGCAAGGAACTTGGGGGGCCGTTTCTTTTTTTCAGTGTCCTTGTGGTTTGGTAGGAAACTAACTTCTACACTATTGATCAAGTACGTTTTCAGTCTTAAGAAGAAAAGATTGGAGGATTAGGTTGAAGGGCAAGTTCTAAAATTTGTGGATCTACAGGAGGTTAGAGTTGGCTCTGGAACACCGGGTACAACCCAACCTACGATTGATGGACAAAGCCCGCACCCCCACTTGCAGGATACCTCTAAACTATATACCCATTCTTGGCAGGATACCAGGAGCTTCAATGCTACCATTAGCTCCTGCGAGAAGGGCGCGGAATGGCAAAGAGCTTTGCATCTCTTTGAGGACGAAAACAGCCGAAGCCGAAACTGGTTCCTCGTCTGTTTTTGGGCTGATGGATGAGACGAGCACTGAGCCGCTAGTCTGGGAGGCCTGACCAGGCAGTTTTAGGGATCTGGTTCAAATAGGACATTCCTGGTCAAGATTGGGTTTGCGGCATTTTTTGTAGTTCCTGGCAGGCAAAGACCAGTTACCTTTTGCATTCCTTTGCTTTCAAGGTAGGGCTGGCCTGCCAAATCAAAGGGCATGAAGATGAGAAGACCTTTTCCATCTCTGTCAGGGCTCTACCAGCTTTCTATAGTTTTCTAATGTTCTTGACTAGCTGAGCATTCTCCTTCAAGCACCATGGATTCTGCCTAAAAGATTGAACATCATGAGACAAATCTCATCCAGAAAATGCGAGATACACACCCTGAAACAACAACAACACATGGACGCGGACAATCTTTTTTTGCCTTTTCGACTGTTTGTAGACTGTAGAGGAACTAACATCTTCTGCCATGCCATCTGCCTGCCACCATTTTTGTCGGATGGAGGATCGACGATGCCAAAGGCTAATTGTTCGGGGAATCATTTCTAAAGGCGTACACCGTATCTGGCCTTCCCTCAAAGGCGTGATTCAGGGCTGTGTAAAAAAAACACCTTCAGCAACTCCAATCAAGGACGAGCGGTCGCCAATTTCGAGTTTATCTGTAAGTTGCACGCTGTGCAACAAGCTTTGCAGTGTGTTTTCCTTTTTCATGTGTCGCGACATGTCGTCACGACTGACTTTCGATCACGACTTGATCACCCACTCCACCGACAGAGGGTGGGCTCGAACCGCCAAAAGAGGCACGGGTGCGCGCTTCGCTGCGCTTGCGTCGCGATTCGTTTTGCGTCGCTTTGGTTTGCTTGGTTGTGGACCTCGTGCGCTACAACGACAATTCGACATTGGTAGCGGAGCCCGGGGTGACCTGGGCTCCCTACCCTGCGCTCTCCGCGACGACTTCCCGAACGCTCGGAAGAAGACCTACGTCAAGGACGGTCCCAGGAGCTCTTTCAGGTTGTCTAGTTCTTTGCTTGGCCCTTGTCATCTGCTACCTCAACACCCCAGCATCCAAGCAGGTCCTAGAAGAGTTCTTTGGCACCATGGCCCAACAGAAGAAGACATCGACGCAGGCATCCGGATCGGGAAGCGCCTCAGGTACCAACTACCTGGATCTCCGGGACTCCTACGTTCCCGTGTTCAGCGGTCAGCCGAGTGACTACCGCGAATGGCGACAGAGGATTCACCTCTATCATCGAAAGATGTCCATTACAAAACGAGGCAATGAGAGCGTCCTCAACATTGTTGGAAGCTTCACTGGACTCACCTGGCGACTGTTCCAGGACTGGGCACTGGAGGACCTCGAGAAGACTGACGCTTTTCCGAAGATCATTGAGGTCCTCGATCGAAACTTTGCCTACGATGATAGAGTCCAACTTCCTGCAGATTTTGAGAGCTACTTCAATTTGTTGCAACGTCAAGGAGGCCAGACCCTGCTCATGTTCATCAACGACCACGAAGAGGCCTACCGCAAGTTGCAGCAACACAAAGTGGAGCTCCCAGCCTCTGTTCAAGGATGGCATCTACTCCGTCGTGCCGGGCTATCAAGAGAGCAACGACAGCTCATCACCTTGAAGGCACCTACCATGGAGAAGAATGAGGTGATTGAAGCGCTCTACTTGATCCTCGGACAGGATTACAAGGGCGGAGGATGGAATGTTGAGCGGAACCGCCGCTTCGGAATCCAGTCCCACTCCTGGAAGAACCACCGTGCCTATGTGGCCGACGACTATGATGATGAGACCTACCAGGACGATGAACAGTGGGAACATGGATACTATGAGGAGGACGACAGTTGGCTTGAAGAGGGTCCCGCCTATGAGGCCTATGATGATGAGGGTCAGGATTTTGACTATGATGCAGGGTACTATGGTGAAGAAGAACCCTGGCCTGACAATGAAGAAGCGAACAGTCCCTCTCAAATGGCTGCTGCCTATGATTCCGCTTTTGCCTCCTACACGGATGCTCGAAGACGATTCCAAGAGCTGAAGACCTCCCGTGGCTATTTGCCCATCGTCGCACTGACGGATAGCGGAGGTGCACCTACATCGACGGCTACCGGATCCGGCTCTCCGTCTTCGTGGAGGACAAAAGGAAAAGGAAAAGGGAGTTCGAAAGGTGGAAAATCGAAGTCAGTGAGCCGACCTCCACCTGATCCCAGAGGCAGAGCCAAGGCCAACATGAACTGTCTTCGCTGTGGGCAAGCAGGACACTGGGCTGCCAACTGCCCCCAGTCATCAAGTCCGACTTCACGAACTCCGGCAGTCAAACGACCAGCATCCACCACCGAAGCGATGGCTATGTCCACACCACTGGATGAGCGAGCCTTGTTGATCTTCCAGGACTCCGGCGGTGCTGAACGACCGGACTGTGTCATGCTCGACCCTGGTGCAAGCGCCTTCTTGTCCGGCTACGGCCCCTTCCGAAGGTACCTGGATCACCTTCGCGCACTGGAGTTCCCGGTGGACACCATCAAGATGAGCAAAGGCCGGAGACGCTTCCAATTTGGAGGCGATGCATCTATGTGGTCTGACTGGTCAGCCCACGTCCCGACCTTTGTGGACGGAAAGTATGGCACCATTGAGTTGTTCCTGCTGCCAGGCAACACGCCTATGCTCTGTGGAAGGCCAATCATTGAGGCCTTGGGCATGACAATGGACTTCGCTCAAAAGCGCCTTCGCATCGGCAGTTCACCCTGGATGCCCGCAACTCTTGGCCGACAAGGTGAGTATCTCTGGTCCCTCACCAACGAATTCCTCAGTGTGAACTACGACCCTGAATGGCCTGAGTTTGTCCTCCGCACAAATGACCAAGGCATCGAGCAGAATGACGGATACCGTCTCCAGGACTTCATGACTGCCGAGCATGGCTTCACCACCTTTGAGCACATCGACGAGACCAATGACACCAAGACTCGTCCATTGAGGAAGCAGGAGCTGAAGACAATGGATGTGCACCTCAGCACTCAGCTCAATGACCTCTCGGCCTACATCACCAGGGAACTTCATCAGCCCGAACGACCTCGCATCCTGTGGGAGGTCTACTGTGGAAAAGCCAGAACGGCACAGATGGCCGAAACTATGGGCATGGAGACTCGTTGCTTTTTCTACGAGAGTGGCTGGGATTTTGAGCGCCTCGACCATCAAGAAGAGTTCCTCCGACTCCTTGACGAGGAGAACCGCGACGAGCTTTTGATGGCGCCTGAGTGCAAGTTATGGAGCAAGATGCAGTCTCTTGGACGTCGCACTCCAGCTCAGAAGGAAGCTCTTCGTGCAGCTCGTCATCACCACCACGACAGGCATTTGATGTTTGTGCGACGTGGCTACCTGGCCCAGGTCTCTGGAGGTCGACATGCGACCATCGAGCAACCGAAGAACGCCCTCTCATGGCAGACCCGAGCTCTTCGTGACCTTCCTGGCCGGCGGACAGACTTCTCTCAGTGCAGATATGGAGCTCAATGTCTGGACAACGATGGCATTTGGAAGCCAGTTCAGAAGAACACCTCCCTGTTGACGACTAAGCAGTCCGTGCAGGGCGCTCTTCATCTTCAGTGTCAGCACGATCATGAACACTGCCCATTGGAGGGTTCTGCACCTGGCTACGGCTCCCGTACCAGGTATCTTGAAGAGTACCAACCTGCTTTGGCCGCCGCTCTTGCTGCTGCCCTCGCCGTTGATGAGCCGCCGACCTACTGGGAAACTGGCCATGCGGCCGAGGATGAGCGAGAGACCACAAGCTCTCTCATCAAGCTCCGAAGTGAAACCAAGCAGGATGCCATCCGCACTGTGCAGCGACTTCATCGCAACTTGAGACATCCCGCACCTTCCGCTTTGGTTGAACTACTTGAGGCAAGGGGTGCATCAGATGCAATCCTGCAAGCCGCAAAGACCTACCGCTGCTTCGCTTGTGCAAAGTACAAGAAGCCTGCTCAGGCCGCTCCGGCTGCTATGCCCAAGAACACTCAGTTCAATGAGGTGCTCCAGGCCGATGTGATGTGGCTACGCCGTGGTTCTCAGAAATATGCAGTGATGAGCATGGTCGATTCAGCAACTCGCTTCACAGCTGCTGTCCTCGTCAACTCGGAGCACACTGAAAACTACATCAAGGCCCTCGAGCGAGCGTGGATTGCACACTATGGTGCTCCTGGTTCACTTCTCACAGATGAGGGTCGTGGATGGCTCAGCACCCAGATGGACGAATGGACGTCGGCTCACAACATCAACCACATCGTGGCTCCTGGAGAGGCCCATGAGCGCTTGGCACTGGTGGAACGCCGCCATGCAGTCATCCGCAAGTCAGTTGAGGTGTACCTCGATGACATGAAAGTTGATGGCCCCGCTGGCATCCAGGAAGCACTGTGCTACATCATTCCCCAGCTCAACAGCACTCCTGGTGTAGCAGGGTTTTCTCCTGCTCAATGGGTCCTGGGCCACCAGCCCCGTCTGGCTGGTGATCTCCTCTCCGACTCGACTCAGCCAGTTCACTTCGGCGGCAACCAGACCTTCGAAGAAATGTTGTCCAAGAGGCATGCTGCTCGCAAGGCACTGAACGATGCTGATGCAGATCGCCGCCTACGACGAGCTCTCAACCTCAAGTACAAGGGCACCAACTCTGAGTACGCCCTGGGCCAACAAGTATGGTTCTGGAGGGATGCTCGACAGCCTGATCTCGTGAAGATCCGATGGTTGGGACCAGCACAAGTGGTCATGAAAGAGCGCCGCCCAGGCGCTGATGAAGCTGAGGGCCCTGTGTCGGTCTACTGGCTAGCGTTCAAGTCACAGTTGATCAGATGCGCACCACACCATGTTCGGGCCGATGTCAAGAGCTTCAACCATGCCATTGATGACACCCAGCTTGCCTTGAACACCGTGCGCCAGTTGAAGTCTCGAGGCGTCACCCGCTTCTATGACTTGAACAGGGTCAACCGGCAGAACCTGGCTGATGTGGAAGAGGATGAACATGGTCAAGGATCCTCCATCGAATCGGGATCTGAGCACGAGATGACACCACCACGGCAGCGCCCTCGCCTCATGCTGGATTCACAGCCCACAGTGACTACCAACTCAGCAGAAGCTGCACCACAGATCGAGGCGACAACACCACCCACAGTGACTACCAACTCAGCAGAAGCTGCATCAAGCCAAGCCGTGGCACCAGCTGCTCAGGAACAAGGCCCTGAGACAGAGGCACCCATGTCACCACCTCCGGTACCAGGTGACACTGACGGATGGTCCGAACCCAGCCAGGAGCCAAGCGAAGAGCCCCCAATCCGAACCACAAGGCCACCTACGCCCAGTGCTCAGCCGAGGCCAACACTTGACCCTGCTACAGCTGAACTCTATGAGTCTGCACCGGCCGAGACATTTCAACAACAGAGACTCCGGTTCAACCGCCAGGAGACCCTGAGCTTTGCCCCTTTCAGGCATCGCAGAACACATGGAGCGAATCCATACCCGGACTCAACGGCTGCAGCAGATCAACCTGCTACACCACAGCAGCCACCAGAGCAGCTAGCAGGTCAAGGCTTCTACCTCGAGAACCTCGATACCACATCACTGCCGCATGGATGGCATATGGATGAACAGGGGTATCTCCAGCTGGATGATCGTGTCACAGACTACTGGGAATTGAAGGCTGGCTGCTTGATTCGCCATCACCTGATCCCTCGCCGTGGACGGATGCACATCGACCAGCTCCCCAAAGACTGTCCAGTCTCAGCGGAGCAGCTTGACAAGCTGAAGATCACCCTCGTGCAGCAACATGATGGCAGGAGCCGTCTCCACACCGATGATGGCACTGTGACCACTCCACCTGAAGGCACCACTGGCACTTGGACAGGCACCACCGTCTTCCAGCTCTCAGGTGAGACTCGTAAAGAGATGGCTATGTACACCGGCACCCACCTGGTCCGCAACAGTGCACGACAGGTTGCCAAGGAACAGAAGAAAGTGCACACCAAGAAAGTGAAGAAGGACAAGGGTGGGGTGAATGAAAGGCTACTAGGCCCTCATGAGCGTGCTCTCTTCAAAGAAGCAAAGGTCAAGGAACTTCGATCCTTCTTTGACCACGGAGTCTGGGCCTTCCAAACGACTGCAGATGCCGACGAAGCACGAACTCTGACCTCGAGGATCCTGCTCAAATGGTCGAAGAATGAAGATGGCAGTCCCCGTGCCAAAGCCCGGCTCATCGTTCGAGGGTTCAATGACCCAGATGCTCTTTCTGGTGCCATCACTACCTCATCGCCAACAACGACAAGACTGTCGAGATCTATGGTGTTGTCTCTTGCAGCCAACATGCATTGGCCAACCTGGACTGCCGATGTCAGCACAGCTTTCTTGCAGGGTCGCCCACAGACTCGCAAGCTATGGGTCAAACTTCCTGCTGAAGCACTTCAGTTGCTAGGCGCCTCTGAGGACACAAGGATGCTCTTGTTGAAGCCGTGCTACGGTCAGACGGACGCTCCCAGAGGTTGGTATCTGGAAGCTGTGGACCGCTTGCTGCGAGCAGGCCTTCGTCAGCACCCACTTGATCCGTGCGCCTTCCTGATTTATGAGAAGGATGATCCTGACTACGACGAGCACAATCCCATTCACCAGGAGACCGCCACGCTGGGAACTGAGAAGCTCTGCGGCATGGTGATCATGCATGTCGACGACATGTTGGGCGCTGGCTGTCCTCGATCTCCTCGATACAAAGCTGTCACTGACATGCTTCGAGCCAATTTCTCATTCCGAGAATGGAAGGAAGACCTGCCCAAGCTCGAGTACTGCGGCTGCGAACTCGGAAAGACCGAAGAAGGAGGTCGCCGGCTCCATCAGGAGAACTACTACGCCAAAGTGAAGCCCATCACACTTCAAAAAGGGCGCGACCTTCACGACCGGCTGTCAGAGAAAGAGGTCACTCAAGTTCGTGGGTTGCTAGGCTCCTTGCAATGGCCTGCAGTACAAACAGCGCCTCACCTCCAGTGCTCGACGTCAATGCTGTCAGGACAAATCACCAAGGCCACTGTGAACACAGTCCAGGAGTGCAACAAGCTGTTGAGGTTCGCCAAAGAACACAACGATGTCAGCCTCTACTATAACCCGATCGGACACCCGTCCGAATTACAGCTGCTGTGTTTCTTTGATGCTGGCTTCACGGCACGATCCGACGGCAGTTCACAGGGCGGCTACATCCTGATGTTTGTCAATCGCCAGCTGCTTACCTCTGGGGAAGATGGTGAGTATCATGTCTTGGACTGGCGTAGCTTTCGCACGCCTCGGGTCACCCGGAGCTCACTGGCAGCTGAGGCTCAAGCAGGTGGACAAGCAGTTGATAGCATTGATTTCACCTGCAGGTACTGGCACTACATCATGAACCCCGACCTCAAGCTCAAAGATTTGCTGAAGGCGTCTTCCACTTTGACGCCGATCATGGTCACTGACGCCAAAGCCCTGTATGACTCCTATCACAGGGAGGGAGTCAGCTCGTCAGTGGTGGACAAAAGGGTGAGCCTAGAAATCCGAGTCATGAAGGAGATGCTGGAGGAGCTCAATGGACAGCTTCGATGGATGAGCTCAGAACGACAGATAGCTGACGGACTCACCAAAGAGTCAGCTCGTGTCTTGCTGGCCGCTCGCCTACGGCACCGACGTGTGAAGTTGACTTGGGACCCAAACTATGTGGCTTCGAAGAAGAAGACAAAGAATGAAAAGGCCAAAGCCATCGCAGAGACTACACTTGATTTCCAGCCGGAACACTATGAGCCTGAGGAAAATCAGGACCCTGTTGAGGAGCACACTCCACCGAATGCTGACGTCTCTGAGTATCCCGAGATCCTTGAAGATGATGGCATGCCACCGAATGAAGAGATTCCTGCCACCGCCTACTTCTCAAAGACCATGGAAGCTGTGGCCTATGTGTACGCCATGAGCCATGGCGGCTGCCCCATGAAGTATGTCAAGAAGAGTCGCAAGCCGAATGCTCTGTGGCTGATGCTGCTGCTCTCCATGTTGGTGCTGACCAAGGGTCAGCAATGTGAGAAGGGTCAGGATCCAGAGAATCAAGAAGAAGGTCATCTGCTGATGTGGTTGGCTGTCCTGGCCTTATTGCACGTGACCATCATGGCAGGCGTCTTCTTTGCTGGACGCTGGAGTTGCCACAAGGACACCAAGGACAAGCCCCTGATGAAAGAAGTTCAAGTCCAAAAGGACGAACCAATCGTCCATACCCGACTTCGAGACCTCCTCCAACAAGAAAAGACAAGATCTGAAGAAGCACTCCGAGCAGCCAGGGAATCCCGATCTGCCTTCAACAACCTGATCAGTCGATCAATCTGGGAGATGGATCACCACACCTCCATGTGCCCCTTCTCAAGGCCCATCGTCACCAACCGGACTGCAACTTGCTGGCACCATGAGACCTGCCACATGGTTGAGCAGATGAATGAGCCCCTGCTGATCCGGAGGGCCTGCGCTTACTGCGCCATGCACCGTCCTCCACCTGACCGGACGGATGCTCAGGCGAGGACGATTCGAACCGACCTAACTGCCTGGCTGACGAACGCTGCTTTGTGGCTGCCAACTGAGGCCTAAAGTGGCTAAAGAACAGCCCTGTGTAAGTTGCACGCTGTGCAACAAGCTTTGCAGTGTGTTTTCCTTTTTCATGTGTCGCGACATGTCGTCACGACTGACTTTCGATCACGACTTGATCACCCACTCCACCGACAGAGGGTGGGCTCGAACCGCCAAAAGAGGCACGGGTGCGCGCTTCGCTGCGCTTGCGTCGCGATTCGTTTTGCGTCGCTTTGGTTTGCTTGGTTGTGGACCTCGTGCGCTACAACGACAATTCGACATTATCCATTTTCTCTTGGGGGGGCAGGTTTTGGGGGTCACGTCCATGTTGGGAATGGCATCCACGTTCATCCAATCCTCTCCTAGCAACCACTTTCGATCTTTCTCGTGCGGTGCTGTTGAGGAGATCTGTCCCACGTGGCTTCGTCCCGATGTGTTCAGCTTCAATGCCACCATCAGCTCTTTGGAAAAGGCCTGGCAGTGGCAACGAGCCTTGCAGCTCTTTCAGGACGGTGGCAACGGCTCCAACAGCTCTTTCGTGTCCCAAATCGGGTGGTGGGTGGAAGTGGAAGTGGGGCAGTGGGTGTGGGGCATGGGTCCAAGAAAGGAAAGAGGAGGGGGGGTTTTATGGCACCCCCGGAGCCATGGCTAGGTAGATCCTCCTGCCGATGACTGGGACGGAGATGGAGGAAATGACCAGGGCCCAGGACGTGCAGTCCAGTGGTCCAAGACAAAGAGCTTCACGATGCATCAAACAAGACAAGCTGCTGCTTGATCAGGTCGTCCTTCGCAAGATCGAACACGAAAAAATAGACACATCAGAACACTCCCTTGCTTCGTGACAGATGCATTGGCCATCCCTGGGGTCCAATTGGGTTAAGTATCGCTGGTGGTGCTGCATTGGTGCGGCGGTGCTGTGCCTTCTGTAGGCCTTCCAAGAAGAGTCTGATTTGATACACACAACTTCGAATACTTTCGATGTCTGCGTCTTAATTCAGGGGGGAGCCCGAATTCTTTATGCGTGCTGGGAAGAAGACACCCTCAAATCGTCCCTTCCAGGGTTCGTCTCAATGCTGCGGATGGAGTGGGACGAGCGAGAATCCAGAACCATGGAGTCTGAAGAGCTTCGTCGGCGCTGTAATTGCTTTGGTTCTTCTCTTTTTTATCCGGACAACTGGTGAGCACTGGTGCACTGACGAGCAAGTCCACCCGTGCTCCCCATGCCAGATTTAATTCTGGCTTGTTCCGCCAGGAATCTTCGCGATCAACTGCAAACCCATGCAAACCCTACCCCCCAAACTTAAACTCCCAAAAACCTCAGGCTCTCCAACACTTCAGAAGCCGAACTCGGAAGCCGAACGAACGAACTGGTGGCGCCGAACTTCGGCGCACCAAGCCGGTGGCGTCGGAGGACATGCCCTCGTACCTCCTCGGTGTGGACGTTTGGAGCTTCAATGCCACGATCAGCGCCTGTGAGAAGGGCCAACAATGGCACTGGGCACTCGAACTGTTCGACTCCCTCTGTCAGGTGCGGTTTCCCCTCGGTTCGTTGCTTCGTTGCCACGCTGGCCGGGTGGGTTAAAAGGGGCGTGCTGAGCGCAGCACCTCGCGGCGCGTTTGGGACTTCAAGTGGGTGTTCACACATACACACCTGTGCTGGAAGTTTTTTTGTAAAGGTTGATCGGGCTCTTCCCCACTCTCCAAACTACGGACGGTCATGTTGACCAGCTGCTCCAAAATTCTGAGCCTGCTAGCTAGGCACCCTTCATTCTTTCTTTAATCCAGTCTTTCTTTCTTTCGCAACGGACTCTTCGAAAATGACGAACTGGCAAGTCAAATGAATTCAGATGCCACCCACCTGCCTTGTACACGAAGAACACCATCGAGCTGTAAGCCAGGCACCCAGATATTCCAACAAGGTCTAGAGTGATCAGGGTTCCGAGATTGTTCAGATGAGCTGAGCGCCAAGTTTGGGGGATTCTCCCATTTACCGATGATGGACCACTCGCAGTCGAGCCAAAAAGAACCCGCCCGTGGAACCACGCAGTCTGCACAGCGCCGTGGAAACCCGCGGCACGCGCCGCGCGCGCCGTCGTGCGTCCTGTCATGGCCAGACCCCATCGGTGCAGCCAGACACCATCACCTTCAACGCCAGCATCAGTGCATGTGAGAAGGCCGCGCAGTGGCAACACGCTTTGGGCTTCTTCATGCTGATGTCCGGCCAGGTGGAGCGTGGCCGCCAGGGGCGCCAGGGCGGTGGCCAGAGCCTGTTGCCACAGCACACTGACACGAACATGGAATCCAAATGAAGACCCTTTGGGGTTCATCATAATCCTTCCCCGTACTGATCCCAGAACCATAGTCTAGTTGGGAATCTTTTTCATTTGCCACTTCTTGTCAGGGTTTGTTTTGTAGGTTTGGGGGCGATCTTGCTACTCACGAAGGCCGCCCCAAACGAGATCACTTACAACGCGACGATCAGCGCCCTGGAAAAGGCCGCGCAATGGCAGAAGGCATTGCAGGCAAAGCGTCAGAAGCGTCAACTGCGCGGCGGTCCGGCGCTTCTTTTTGGAGACAGCACCAAAGGCGTAAAGACAGGTTAGATTGTCCGTTTTCTGGAGAGATTGGTGGAAGGTGACCCTTTCAAACATCTGATGGAATGATGTTCCAGCCGGCTTTGCAGGTTGATAAGGCATGCGTTCCACCAACAGCTTCCACTCGTTGTTGATGGGTTATGCGTTCCTCCGGTAAACCGTTTGGTGATCCTTTTTTGTGTTTCAGGCATGGAAATTCTGGAAAGCTCAGTCTAGATCCTGACCAGACACCATAAAGGACACTACGCCTTGTTTCTCCTCAAAGTGGGCTACTTGGATTCCTCCTTTGGATTCGCACGGTCGCTGAGTGGGAGGCTGGTTTCTCATTGGTTGGCGCATTTGGCACCCAAAGACCAGGTCACGTGATGCAGTCCATTCGACCCGTGAATCTCTTCACCATGCTCGAGCAATTGCCCGAACGCACTCAAAGACCTGAAAACTCTGCAGGTCTTTAACGCGATGGAAGCTTCTCCTGGGCTCATCACCTACCATGCACTGATGAGTGCTTGCGAGAAGGTGAGGAACCTGAGTCATAGTCCCAAGTGTCTCCTTCTCTTGTGATTTTGGTTCTGGTCCTGACCTTGGATTGAAAGGGCTGTGGGAACACATGCAAGGAGGTTTGCACATCTACAGACTTCAAGGTAGGTGGACATTTGGGACTGCACTGTGCACCGGGAATGCACTGTGCGCGGCAGGCCTCCCAGTGGCAGGTGGCCCTTGAGCTCTTTGCCCGGGCGAGCTGCGCCACTCGGTGGGTGCTGACTGCTAGGAGCTTCAACTCGGTGCTGAGCGCATGCGAGAAGGTGGGGTATTCATGCGGTTGGTGCTTGGGACGGGGGTGGTGTCTACAGTTTGGGTGAGGCTGGTGGGGTTCAGATTGCTTTATGTCAGCCGATTGGCAGAAGACACCTCTTCAGTGGGTTTGGACGGCTTCAGATGGGCACTTTTTATCTTAGGGAAGTGAACCATACAACAATTTCCAGGTCACATCGACTCGTTCAGCAGCTTTCTTTGTACAAATGAAGACACCTCCACACCCACACCTCGAAGTTTCTCCTTTTCTATTGGCCCAAAGACAGAGCGCAGACACCCACCTAGGCCCCACCGATTTCGGTTGTTCTGCTGTTGTTGCTTTTCTGTTTTTTTGCCTGCTTCCCTCCCATCATCCATGGCATTTTGGTTGCTTCTTCTTCCACGCGCCACGCCCCTCCTGCTGCCGTACTGCCTGTTCAAGTCGGATCCTTTCCCGTTTTTTGCCGGACAGTAGGCTCGGCAGTGGCTTGTGGCGTTGCAGTTCTTCCACCAGATGCCCCAAGCCCAGGCTGGGACCGTTCCGTCGACCCCGGTCGGAGCAGTTGGTCGGACACACCGACGGATTTGGAGCGAGGTGTTCTTGGGTACGGGCGATGCAAAGAAGAGATGCCAACCAACGGACGGGCGATGCTGGGCCGTTTGGTGGTTGTCTCCTAGGAGACAGGCCCCAAGGACCGAACGGGGTTCCTTTGACCCCGGTTCACAGATGTCAAACATGTCGACCTCACACAGACCTGTTCAACAGGGGACTGCCACGCGGAAGAAACGACTTGGTCTTCGATGCTCCACCGATGCGAAGGGTAAGAGCAAGGACGCTATGAACGGGGCTCTTGGCCTTACTACTAGGAACAAGAAGCCGCTAGGAACAAGTGATTTCCAAACTTGTAGCTTCGTTACTAGTAGCAATGGCCTCCAACCTAGCAATGGCCTCCAACCTACTGGCATCTTCCCATCCTCATTCCATCGCGCCGCATGAGGTCTCCCCGGATGCCATCTCCTTGAGCGCTGTGGTGAGTGCCTGTGCGCGACGAGAGGGGGGCACTTGGCGCAGGGCGCTGCAGCTCTTTGAGGAAGCTCTTGCCGGCGCTCGGTGGTGTGGAGAGGTAGGGCTGGAACTGATGCATCAACTATGCACCAACCATCACTGACTGGGAGCAACCAACCATCACTGACTTCCCCCAAACGAACATGACCAGATTGCGAGGTTGGGAGATTTCTAGCTAAGAGCTAGCATGTGTGGTTAGTGCCAGGCATGTGAAGTTCTGTGGTTTGACATGGACCCGTCGACCGTCGACCCATTTTTTCAGGTAGATGCAATTGCATGGAGTTCGGCCGTGAGCGCCTGTGCAAAGGGAGGAGGGCGGGAGCGTCGCTGGACCGGAGAAGTCGCGTCGGTGCGGGGTAAGGAGTTCCACAGGTTGACTGATCACAGTCTTCAGAACAGGCGGTTCTGAGAGGGCGTAGAAGGCGATCGAACTTGTTTCGGGCTTTCTGGTTGGTGAAGATCTTCGCCCCAGGATTTGGAGGAACTTGAGATTTTCGGGGAACCAACGATTTTGCACCACCAGTGTCATCACAGCTTGCTCAGCATGCTCAGTTCCACGATACCTCTGGACACCCACCCATGGGCGAGGCTCTGAGGCGTGCGCCGCTTTCACACCGCCGACCCCCCCCTTGCACACTCTCCAAATGCCAGGACATTGGAGACAGGCCCTGGAGTTCTTCCATCGCATGGCACAAAGACAGATTCGTCAGGATGTGATTTCTTTTAGTGCCGCCATCAGCTCGTGTGAGAAGGCCAGTCAGTGGCCTGGAGACGAAAGGAGCCCGAGTTTGGTTCTTTAAGCTCCCCTCCAGGGCTCTCCATCCGCACTTCTTTCAGGCCACAACCCCCACGAAGCCTATCCCAGGAGCCCAGGAGTACCCAAAAGGCTCCTCGTCTCAACCTCTATTCACCAAACATCCAGTTGTTTCACTTGGACAACCTCAAGCTCGTTGATTTCCACCAATGCCTTTCCGAAAACATCCTGCGTGTTGCTTGGTTGGGATAGACCATGGCATGCATGCTGTCGCCAAAGACTCGCATCGAAAGAGACGGAGACTCGCATGTGCCGTATCTTTGTAGACCTGAGACACTCAGAATCAGCTCAGTCCGAACAGGTTTCATGTCTATCATGTCTTCAGTCGATAAAACACAGGCGTTCTTCAAACAGAAGAGCAACCCTTCCACAAAGAAAGCGCCCAAGCGAATTCAACACATGGTCAGCCACCGTGCTGAGAAAAGATGTGAACTTTGGGGGATGGGACGCGGAATGTATCGGTTGGTCTTGGTAGGTGGTAGGCACGAAGCTCAGATGAGCCAGAGCTTCCGTTTTCACTCATGAACTACCGAACCTGGTAGTCATGATCCACCACTTGTAAAGGGGTGAAATGAGTCATTTTCCTGAACGTCCAGGGTGAGAAGCACAGGGTTTCTCCTCCGATTTCGTCGTGGTTCGCGTTCTTCTTCTCCAAAGGGGCGGCTGGTTCAACTCTTTTATATAGTAAAAAAGAGGTGGTTCGGTTTTTGCCACCAAACCATCCAAACAGTCCAAAAAACTTTGGACGACGGCTCAGGTGGCCTTTTGCCCTGCTACTCTTTCAGCAGATGCATCTAGCTGAAATCGTCCCGAACAACTACAGCTACAGCGCGGCAATCATCTCGTGCCAGAAAGGCAGACTCACGTGGCGGACTCTCGTGTGGCTTGAGTTTCACAAGAAAAGGGACGACACTCAGCTTCTTCTGGGCACCCTTTAGGCGCTGCGAATGAGATCGAAGAAGCCATGTTTGCGTTCGTTTTTGACAACAACTAGTCTTCATCAACTGAACAGATGCTCAAGAAAATAGTACAGTCCACCGCTGAACTCTTTTTCTTGGAACGTACAAAGACCTGCGCAGCCCACCACGTGTTCAGCCCAGTCATCTATGGCCAACAGGGCCGTGGCTAGACCCCCAGTCCAGCTTCGCTGGATTCTCAAATCTGAAAGATATGGCCCATTTCTTTGTGATCACGTGAACGTCAACCAAAACGGTATCCCGCAATGACGCTTGGCTCTCACCCCAGTCATGTTGACGGTCATCCATCCTCCGCCCACAAAACCAAACACATGCGAAGACCCACAGGAGTACCGTTCGAGGGTGAACCGACCTGGTCCGGTTCTTTCGATGAGCGCCTCATGCGAAACCCTCCTGGATGAAGGCGAGCAATGGCAATATGCTTTAGAACTCTTTGGCTCTCTCAAAGCTGTGACTGAACACTTGCTGAGCAACATTTTTGCTTCTCTTTCGGCGGTTTTGTTGGGCTTTGTCTGGGGCCTTTGTCTGCCCCGTTGGCTTTTATCACTTTTATCCCTGTGATCTCACACTGACCATGGGGCCACCGGGGGGGAATCTTCAGGATGACCCTGATCATGTCGACTCCTGCCAAGAAGATCGAAGTCATTCGAGGTCCGATTGAATGCAAGAAATCATATCAGAAATGATCCGCTTCTGCTTGGAACAGAGATGGAAGTAGTCCTCCAAAGAAATCCCACCGGCAACTCGACCCCAACCAGTCGAAGAGATCGAATCAAAAGCCCATGCTGGACATCGCCGGGTGAAAGCGACGCCGGTCACCCACGGCCGGTAACGACAGATGGAACAGAGAACTCTGGCTGATGAGTCAAAGCATGTCAAAGCCATATCCGCGCTGGCGGATCCGAACAGTTGCCATGGTCTTTTTCTGAATGAACATCCCACACCCGTGCATCCCAGTTGAGGAATTCCTTCCCGGTCAACTGCTGGGAACCTCCAACATCGCGACCTGTGCTGGACTGGACCGGTTAGTCGACCGGTCGACCGGTCGGTCCCAGTCGAGGCGAAGCTGCAGCCGGACCTTGCCAGCTTCCAGGCGACCTTGCGCGCCTTGAAGAGGGGAAGCCACTGGCAACAGGCTTCGGTGCTTTTGGATGCCCACGCCTGGCAGGCCGTCCGCTGCTTCGCGGTTTTGGGGTTTCGTGGGATGACGCCAAAGCCGGTTTGTTTTCTGCGCCAAAGCAGACGTGCGAAGGAGTTGTGGGGTTCGGGGCTGGGAAAGCGAGTAAGTCGGGTCTGGTGGTGCAGGTCGGGTTTGGGGATGGTCGATGGAGTGATTTCTGATGGTTTTCTGGTGAAGAGAACAGCTGAGTTTTCAGCCGCTGACATGAAAGTTGGTGGCGAACCCAAACATCCAACCTGTTGGAATTTGGATTCTGAAGGTAGGGCTGCAGTCGGACTGGCCCCATACTTGGCAGCCCATGTCGCACTGGACCAGATCACTTTCTTCGCAGGCGGAGTTCTGCGAAGCCGTTGGAGCGCCGGAGGTTGAGCAGAAGAGACCGATGCTGTTGCGGACGTTGGGGTTTAAGTTCGAAGGGTTCCCCCAGTTCTTCGAGGTCTGTAGGGTCGTGGTTCTGGAGGGTGAGAGTTGTATGACCAACCAGTTCCTATGAATACATATCCTTGGATACGTCTAGAGTCTGAAATATCCTGAATTGTGCTGATAAGTTAAGCCTGCGTTTGGCCTCTTACCATATTGACATCCTCATCCTGGTGTGGGAACATTTCCAACACAAGAAACCCTTCCTTATCCTTCCATGACCGTTTGGGCAGACAATTCCTATGGTTCTGGTACTGGGTGTATGTCCTTGCAGAATGCATACACGTCAATAGGTACTGTGCACATTCATACATGCATGTGCATGCATGTATCAAAATAGAAGGCATCCAAACACTCTTCAACCAGCATAAGAGATCATAAGAGTATACAAGAGTACCTGAACATCCATGGTGCAGGGTCGCCTCATTGGAGAGACCTTGTGGCCAAATTATTCCCAGTGCAGCTGGTTACTAGTAGTATGGCCAGGAGCCCTAGTAGCGTCCTTACTGATACGGCCCAGTCATGACTGTTCAGTACGGCCCAAGTCGCCACAGGGGAGCTGTTGCTCCGGAATCCCTCTAACACCGTTCCCACCTCGGTGGTTCAGCTGGCATCGACTGGTGTCCAAAATTGCTTCCAGAGATGTCGGTTCGAAGGCCATTTTTGCTCATGCCATGCCTTGGGATGGCCTGTTCGTTCTCTGCTTGCCATAGACCTTTTCTTACAAAACGAGAGCGGAGGCATGAAGATTTCGTTTCGACTGGTCACATGTCACCGGGATATGGTCACAGGACCCTTTTCCCATGGCTGGCACAGTCATGTCAGCGCAAGTGAGCTCTTTTGGTCTATGCAGCATCGAGGGCAGAATGTCAGAAGGAGAGATGGCGGGCCGGGCCCCTCAAAGTTGATCTTTCCAGCTTCTCGTGGAAGTGCAACGATCATGCTTTCGTTGGTATCCCCACCATCAACCCCACTACCCCACTCCCACGATCTTGCGAACTCGCAAGATCCCCAAGACCATGTCACTTGCTGCGCCATGGTGATCCAAGTGATCTATGACGTGGCCTGCCCGGTGTGTTTGCGCGCCATCCAACTGGTCACTTTCCGTGAGGAGACCTTCAGGAGACCGGCTCGCGGACCGTCTTCGACGCAGCGCCGTGGGTTTTCAGGGGGGGGGGCCCCCACGTTTTGGGGGGTTTCAGGGGGGGGATAAAAAAGGGGACCCCGTTTTTGGGGGTTGGGGGGGGCCCCCCTGTTCAGGGGGCTCCCTGTTGCATGGAGGGGGTTTGGAATGGTCTGGGGGGATTCGTGGCAGTTGGTTCGTCCGAGTCTCCACGGACCTCCCGAGACTCGGAGGTCGAACCGCCGGGACGAGAGACGAGACCTGCCCCCGGTCACTCGCCATACGATGGGCGAGCTGCGCTCTTGGGGGGCTCCAATCCTCAGAAGTCGACGGAGTAATCAAGGCTCAGATCTTCGAAAGACTTGAACCCAGGACAGAAGAGATGAATTATCCTAACATATCCTAACAGAAGAAACCAGGAAACGACATGCAAGTTGACAAAGCAAAGTTGACCTTCCACTTCCACCTCCAGTTCGTGACCGTCCCGGAGATCTAATGAGGTCGCCACTGGTCCCAAAGAGCTCACAAACAGAGACCTTCAGTTTCCCTCCAAAAAATAGAAGCTCCGCAAACCAAATCAACTTGCCCTACCAAGACGGCTGAGGAACTAGGTAGCTCCAATCGCCTTTGGGGGGCCCTGGTATGTTTGCGCGAGCACGTTAGGAGCTCGGGCGTCGCCTCCACCGTGCAGCTGAGTCCGTGGCCCTCTGGGGCGGCGGAGGACGTGCTTCGAGGTGGCATCGATGTTGATCGATGTTTCGTTCGCCGTTTGGCCAAACAACACAGTTCTCAAACAGAGAACGAACCATCACCGGAAAAAAACAGACACACACACAATCACACACTGTTTCTGGAAAGATTTGATGACGCGATTCCAACATAGGTTGACCAAAACCGAACAAAAAGAGGAGTCGGAGGAATTCCTTGATGCTCTTTGAGCGATACCGTATTGGACATCTTGAATCTAGCTCATTGAGGGTCATGAGAAACAAGATGGAAGCAGGGGAGTCTCTGCTGTCTTCGACATGTGACGCCGCGGAAGCGTTCGCCTCGCCGAACGCCTCGCCTCCCACCTTCCCTTCCTCCGTCCTGCTCAGAGGGCACGATTTGCAAGAGCAAAATTGCAAAGTGGACGTTGCAATGAATGCATACCAGGAGTCACCAAGGGGTGGTTTTTAGTCCCTAAGTGAGTGGACAATTGGCACTCCTATCTTCCAACAAACACCGCTTTGTGACTCTGGTGTATAATTTAATATAACTTAACACATATTTAATATTTTCTACGATTCTCTCTTGGCTGGAAACACCCCGGCTTCTCATCGCCATGGGTTGAGCGGTTCGATCAAAACTCTTGGGCGTGCTGAACGAAGACCTCATTGGCTGCAGGAGGGTGGATTCTTTAATCCTCTTTATTCCCCAAACAGTTTACCGGTGGGGTTCTATCTTAGAAAGAAAAGAGCTTGCCACACTCACTGGCCGCGCCCCTGAACTCTGTGGCTGGGCTCCGTGGCTGGGCTCTGTGGCTGGGCCTTGTCCTCCTCTTGTCCTCCTCTTGGCCGCGCCCCTGAACTCTGTCAACTCTGTGGCTGGGCTCCGTGGCTGGGCCTTGTCCTCACTTGTCCTCCTCTTGTTCTCCTTTTGGCCTGGGCTCTGTGGCTGGGCCTTGTCCTCCTCTTGGCCGCGCCCCTGA